GCATGGCTGGTGCATCGATGCATCAAATGCATTCGATGTTTTCATAAAATCCTCAGTGCATCGGTGCATGGTATGTGCATCGATGCATGAAATGCATTCGATGTTCAATTTAATTCATGGTGCATCGATGCATGGATTGGTGCATCGGTGCATCACTCTGAAAAATTGATTTTAGGCTTGATTTTGGTTCAAAATACTTTGTGAAAATTGTTTCAAAAATATATTAAGTATAAAACACAATTTTACACATTTAGTAAGGTTTGAAATTAATCTTAAAAGAATTGGAGTAATAATTTGATATTCGAGTAATTAAATTGAATATACTTTTTAGAAAAGCATTTGTAAAATCTTAAAATTCATTTAACTTAATTTGTTATATCGAAACATCAAAATGTTTTCAACATATAGGTATACATATACTTTTATTTTTCATAACTTGTTTTTTTATTTAACACGTCATTTTTTGCCCATTATATTATATTAAAAATATTTAGTTATAGAATATCTTGTATTGTGGACTCATATTAAGTTTTGGGATTAATTGAGTGCATACATATGTATTGTCTTTCTTTGCATGTATAATCTTTATTCTGATTCTCTTTAACATATCTCACAAACGTCCTAGATCATCCTCCTCTCGTGCTAATCCACCTCCTAACCCTCCGCCAAATCCTCCTCCCAATCCAACTGAAATGAACATAGTAAATTCGTGTTTTAATGAACCGAATAGTCAAAATCTATATTCACTATATCTAAACAATTTTGAGTCTTATGCTATTAGGGGTGAGCGTCTCCCCTCTCTTTCGGCAATGCAAGAAATGAACTTTAAATACTTACCCCTTCTACGAGCTTGGAAATTTGACAACACTTTCAAAGTTAAACCCGTTGTCTTTCACCAACTAGTCTGTATTTTCTATTCTAATGCGGTTTACATCCAAAATGAAGCTCGTACACAAACTGAAAGTATTCGTTCCTATCTCTTGGGCGAATACATTACCATTGATTCTGACTCTATTACCCATGCTTTTGGTCTCGAAAACACCGGGATTGATAATGAGCGAGATAACGTCCCTTCTTTCTTAGAAGTAGGAAAGAGCGTTAGTATCATTGACTTCCACAAGCGATTTCTTCACTTGATTATCTCTTGGTGGTCTTGACCATCCGAATGAAAGTACTCCTCTTTTTGAAGTATCGACATTTAGAAGATCCATTGTTTTCAAAACAATAAAAGAATTATTCTTGCTCAAATAATCTTCAGTGAACTAGTGGACACCGTAAACCATATTCCATCTAAGAGAGTTGAGTCTTTGGTTTATGGTTATCTTCTTAGTAATTTATTTATCAAAGTCGGTCTTAAAGTCAACCTAGATATTGCCATCCCCTTAGGTAACCCAATAGATTTTACCTTTCTCTGCAAGTCATGATGGACTCAAGTTGGGACAAGTTGGGAACAAACACTTAAAAAGACGTCCAGTGCTAGTTCTTCTCGAGCGGCTCTGGCTCTTCCTCAGGCCGATTATGTTTTGCAAGATGTTGATGATCCTGTAAATCGCATCCCTGAAGTGCCTCCTAGTGCTAGTAATGTTATGCCTCCCAATTTTCATTCTCTGATAAAGACTTTAGATTTGATGTTTGCATCTATAGAGTCTTATTTTACTGCCTTGGGGACTCAATTGACTGAGCTGCAACGCGACATCCCAGCTCGATTCGACGCAGTGACGGATAGGCTCGATGCTCTTTCACAAGACGTTGCCTCTTTTCGTGCACCTCGTTCTGATCCCGATCCTCCATCGGATGATTGATCATGCTATTACTTTGCTAGTTGTTCTTTGTTGGCGTTTCAAATGTCATACTTTGAACTTTCAATTTCCTTGAATTTCTTCACATTTGATATTTTGGATTTGGTTATACTATTATGTTTTAGATGATCAGATTTATATTTATTATATTTCGCATTGTTTTAATACCATGTTACCTCTTATTATGTTTATGACCATGCCCACTATATTTTGAATATTATTTATGTTGACTGACCTATTTTGGCACATTTGTCCTTCACATCTATATTTTATATCTTGTTTATTCTTATTGAGTCTTTTTGAATTAATAAAAAGGGGGACAAATGTTAAAGTAAGGGGAGTAATTTTTCAAAGTAAATCTTAAAATTTTTAAAATGTTTTGTTATGTAAAAAAGGGGAGATTGTTGAAAACACTTTGATATTTTGATATACCAAACAAAATTTTTAATCAGTTGTTTACATATTTTAAGATTATATTCGATTCAATCATTCGAACATATATAATTATTCTTTAAAGTTAAAACATCAACTTTTACTCCTCACTCTACTGAAAATTTGAGTCCTATACTGGAGAAGTTTTTGAAATAATTTTTACTAAGGGTTTCAAACTTTAATCGATTCAAAAATGATTTTTAAATATAGTAGTATCGATACTGCTATAATAGTATCGATATTGTTAAAAAAGTATTGATACATATATCGATACTGAAACCCAAAATAATGAAGTAGTACCGATACTGTTAAAACATAATGCTAAAATGGTACTGATACCATATATTATATCGATACTACTTAGAGTAGTAGTACCGATACTCTGAGTTATGGTACCGATACTTTGAGTTATGGTACCGATACTACTCCTTCAGTTTTCATTCAGTGAAATTCTAGTATACTAAAATTGTAACGATACTATGCACATATAAAATTTCCATTGAAATTTTAAACAAAATTTGATCGTTTAACAACGATCAATTCAACAGTCAAAAATTTGAAAATTATACATGTTTGAACTCGTCACGCTACCTTGACGAGTTCCATGGCATTAAAATATTATTTTTTAATTTTCGTTTAAAAAATTACAAAATAAAAAAATTATTTTTTTTGAGACTTGTCACACTGACGTGACGAGTTTCATGGGGACTGTTCAATTTATCGTAGATCCTAAATTAAATGTTTGAGTGCCCTAATGGGGTAAATTTTTTGTTCGGCTACAATAATGGGCCAATTTGGCCGTTGTTACATTATAATTTACCCATTACCCAATCAATCGGCCCAGATTAAACCATACCCTTAATCATATTTCAGTAGGTCTGTTTTGGGGTTTGATTGAGGAATTTAAAGGGTTTTGGGTTGTAAAGTTGAAGGAGAACGAGAGAAGAAGAACGAAAGGAGAGTTTTTTTTTTTTTGAGAGAAAGCAATTGTGAGTTTGGTTTAATTTAAGGATTTCTAAACTCTTGAAATTAACTTGTGTTTGGGTCATGGAGTAATGCCGTTTTGTTCTTTTCAAATTTGCATGTTTAAGATAAAAGGGATAACCCTCTCCTCCATCATTTAGGTTTTAGCCTTATCTAATTTGGTCACTGGGAAAATCATATTTGTAATGCTTTTGAGTTTTATTGGAATTCGATGTGGTTCCTAGACCAGTTTTGTCACCTTTTTTTATTTTGGTTTTGTTTCAATTTTGTCCATATTTCTGGTTGTTTATTTTTAATTTAGTTATGTATTTCTGGTTCGTTTCTATTTTAGCTGAGTATTTTATTTTCTTATAACTTGGTCCATTATTTCTACTATAGATTGACTAATATTTTTGCTTGCATATTAGATCTAAGTTTTACCTCTATTTCAGTTTAACCTCAGTCTTGTATACTATTGGATTGCTTTCAGATTTTGCAAGTATGGTTTCTGTTTGCTTCATTTTCATCCATGAATGTTTTTCTTAGTTTCATTTTGAGTTGTTATATTTCCACTAATTATATTTAAGTTCCTCTCCCCTTCCTTTAACATATACGTATATATATATATTATGGTGTTGATTAAAATATTACATCTATACATATATATATATATATATATATATATTACAAATATTATACTGCCTTTTTTAAATATTAATTTTATATTATATATATTATAAAAATGTGTATTTTATTATTTTTTAAGGAAGAATAATAACAAATAAATATTATTTTGTGCAAATAATTTATGGAGACACACCTTAATTGGCAATGAATGTGTCTCTGAAAATTCTTCGTATAAAATGGTATGGTTTTACTCGAATGGTTATTAAATATATGTATTTTATCTAAAGTTTAAGGTAATCTAATTTCGTGTGGGAATCCATGGAAACACACCTTAATTGACAAGAAGAATGTTTCCAAGGATTGCTCGCACGAAATGATGTCCTTCTTTATATCTGAGTGATTTTTTGAATATATATATATATATAATTACGAAAATCAAGGCAATGGTCTTTTATAGGGGGAATATATGAAAATATAGATTAACTGAGAATGAGTGTGTTTTTAGGATTGTTCGTATAAAAAAAATACTCTTTTTAAATTTTTATTTTTCAAAAAATGTTCATAATTTAAATATCATTCGAAGTTATAATTTTCAAATATAAAGATAGCGTGTAATCACTAGGTACCAAATTTAGGCGTTGTGGGGGTTTTCACCCTTCCCCACGCATAACCGACTCCCAAACCATTTTTAAAATGTCTTTGGTTAAATGCATATGAGTTTATATCTTTTTATTTAATTTTTATGAAAATTATTTTAAAAGATAATTTTAGGTATTCGACCTACCTAACACAAATATCGACGGCAACTCTAAAATTATTTGTTTTTCAATAACCCTAGTTTTTTTAAGAAAAAATTAAGTTGGTTCGATCCCTGACATCAACAAGTCAAAAAGCTTTAGGACTGTTCCAACACCAACACCTTGATGACTTAAGGGAAAACTTATTAATGTGAAATAAAATCTCACCTTGCATGGCAACATTAATTGATGTTGAGAAATCAACATTTTCTGCGATTGATGCAGCTTGTTACTGAGATGTAAGCATCGCAATCAACTGATTACATTGTTGAGGAGTCAAAGCTTTATTGAAAGGTTGAGAAGCTGACCCTTGTGATGCTATATCGCTCAAAACAGTGGCAGAATTGGTGTGAACCGATTGAGAATTCTTGGAGCTCGAGGACTAATTCTTGGATGTATAACCTGGTGGATATCCATGTAACTTATAGCATTTGTCTTTTGTGTGGCCAAGAGCATTGTAATGACTGCATTGAGGTCTATTCTTGCAGTTGCCATAGATCGTTTTAACAACAAAAACTGTTTTAGAAACTCTACGCTGATTTGCTTCTTGAAGAAGCAAAGAAAAAACTTTGGCAATCAAGGGCAAATGATCCATCAAAAGAATTTGGCCTTTGATTTCAGCATAAGACTCATTTAAACCCATCAAGAACTGCACGACTTGTTCTTGCTTCATTTCATCAATCATTCGCTAAACACCTCCATAAATGCAACCTATACAAGAATAAACCTGCTTAGTGGAAGAGAGCTCATCCCAAATGATTTTGAGCTGAGTGTAGTAGGTGCTGATGTTCATTTGTCCTTGCACCAAATTGCTTAAATTCTTCTTTAGTTGAAACAAACGTGGCCCGTTCGATTGTTGAAATCGATCACCCAGATCTTTCAAAATTTCAGCTGCAGTGGAATGATACAAAAGACTTGCAGCTATATCCTTAGAAACGGAATTCAATATCCAAGAATATACCAGATTGTTGGCCCTCGTCCAAGCATTGAATTGTTCGACCAAGGAAGGATCAGGTGCAACAACAGAACCATCTACAAAGCCTAACTTATTTTTAGCAGATAAAGAAAGAATCATAGACCTCTTCCAACTGTGAAAGTTATCATTAGAAAGCGACTGTTTAACAAGATTATCCGACCGATGCAAATAGTACGATTACCTCCATTTTCAAAGCGATCGTTCAAGGAATCAAGCATGACGGAGCTGGATGATGGACAAGTTCCCTCTGATGCCATATAATAACAAGAATGCTAGATGAAGATTGATTAAGATTTTATTTATCTGAAACAAATGTTTACAAAGAATATATATACAACTTAAAACTAACTAACTATCCAACTCACTCTAACTTATTAACAGAAACACCAAGTAATATAATTATGATAGGCTGACGCTGATATAATAATATTAAAACTAACCCACATTTACCACAATAGTTACTTTAGCCCTTATTTTTTTTGAAGCATTTTGGCCCTCGATATTTCATTATAGGACAAAAAGGCCACTAATAGTTGACCGAGTAGACACTTTGGACCTTATTCTTTTCTAAAGCATTTTGGTTAGCAATGTTTCATTTTAGCGTAAAAGACCTCTCATCTGCACCATTAATCATTTTTCAAATAATGATTCTTATTTACAGTGGGGTCTTTTATCTCAAACTGAAATGTTGGAGTTAAAATGCTTAAAAATAAAAATCAAAGCGAATATTTATGCAAGTATTAGGGGTGTTTTTGGACATTGTGGCATTAATTAAAATAAAGTTGTGAGTCTTAAGTTGTTAGCAAATTTTTGCATTTAATTGAGTTCACTTTTAATATTTTGTTTTCTTCTCTTTTATGTTTGGTTGATTATATTTCAAAATAATTTCATAGTTCACGTGAAATATGATAGTAAGCTAATTTGTTGCCCTAATTCCAGCTTTGGCCTTTTAAACCAGTTTTTTGGGTAATGTTCATAGATTATAGTGCCACGATTCCTGCAATTACATTTAAAAGCAAGTTACATGTAGGACTTCATAGCCAACCAGCATCAAAAATCTGTAAAGTAAAATAAACAAAAAAAATGAATAAAATGCTTATGCTCATAAGCATTTTTAACAATATATTACTTTTAACACCATATTAGATTGAATCATTAAGTGAGTTTAGTAATTAAAAGGAGTGTTGTTCTCCCTTGAGGTATTGGGCTCAAACAATTTTATTCGTAGTGTGTGTTAATAATGATTAAGAAATATTTTGAATAGATACTACCTCATATAATCAGAACAAACTATTAAATAAACAAATTAGATCAGAATACTCTAAAACACTTTATTCCTATATCTCCCAATCGTATCAATAACAATGTATTGAGTCAATCGAACCAATGAAATAGCCAAGAGGAGGTGAATTGACAAATAAAATTTGATGGAAGCTTTTTGCAAGAAAATGAAAACAATTGACACAAGTAATTTTAGTGTGGTTCAACTTCCTCAATGACCACAGCCTTAGCTTCCACATAAAGGATTTCAACAAATTCAATAATTTGTTCAAACCTTTTAGGACAAGGTGTAGCTTTACAACACACCTAGACTTATACCCCAAAGTCTCAAGTGCACAACCCTTCCTAAGAAGAAATTGCAAATAGCGAACTTAGAAAACCTCACTAGGAATGTGTTTGCAAAATTAAAGATCAAAGAAGAACATTTAACGAAATGAAACAAATGAGTACAAAAGTGTTCTTTGAAAGCAAAAAGAATATTTAAGAATGTTGACTTGATTTTGGCTCAATATGATTGCTTTGGCTTTCTCTATGATCTCTTATTTTCATATGACTTGAAATCTTGTTTTTATACCCCCTTCATTCAATTCGAGTAGCTTGAGTTGTTGTGGGAGTTAATAGAGCCGTTGGGATGAATTTTCTTGCAATAAATATTGCCCAGAAACCTTTAGTATTGGTACTCGGGCTTGGAATATCGGTACTACCTGCATTAATTACAAAATCTAACCATTGGTAAGAGGGGAGTATCAGTACTGCAATGTTTTTATATATTAGTATCGATACCAGTATCGATATTGCATGAACAATATCGGTACTATTCTTGCAGTATCGATACTCTAGGGTTAAAATTTAATTTATTTTGACTCATTAAGATCTGAAACCATTTGTAAAATGTTTAAAAATTGTTTCTAGTATATGACTTGAGTTTTTCAAAAGAGTAAGGAGTACAAAAATGGAGTTTTTATATAAGCATAAAAGCTGAATTAAAAATAAAACTTAAAATTTCTTTAAACTTATTTACTTTTGGTATATCAAGATTTCAAAGCATGGTTCAACAATATCGCCCTTTTTGATATAACAAAACCTTTGAAAAAATTTAAGATTTTTAAAATGTACTCCCCTTTACTCTAACATTTCTCCCACTTTTTTGTTAAATCAAAAAGTTTAAAAGGATATAAACACAAGCGGTGAAGATTAAATATGCCAAAAGAGATTAGTCAACATAAATAATATTCTTAAGCAATTATAATGGTCTTAAAGACAAAAAACATGTCTCAAACATCAAATATTATAAACCATAACAGGCATCCAAAATAACATAAATATAAAATAAAAACATCCATATGCATAAAATATCCAAAATCATCCAAATATCCTAGCATCAAAGTATCAATTTATAGTATCCAAAAGCATAAAGGCATCCAAATAGTCAAAATGCAAGACCGAACATGAGCAACTAGAAAACAGTCAATAAAAAAATGATCAGGCGTCCGACAAAGGAGGATTATGATCCGAAGAAGGAGCGAAGAAGGAAAAAAAGTCGTGAGAAAGAGTGTCGATCCTATCTATCATCATGTTGAATCTAGTATGAAAGTCACATCAAGAGTCCACATACATCGCCTTTAAAGATAATTGTTGTAACATCTCAAACACTGGGTTAGTGACCAAATTATAAAATTTTAGAATTTAGTGACCAAATTAGATAAATTGAAAAGTTCATGGACTTAAGTGGAATATCTTTGTGTAGGATTGAATAGTAAAGAAGGATGAATGGAAGGGCAAAATGGTCATTTGACAAGTAAATGAATTAAAAATTTATCATGGGTATTTTATAAACACGTGGAGTCAAGGAGATGAGGAGAAAAAGATTTCCAGAGAATTCTTCATCTTTCTTCCTCCTTCAGCCATGAACCCCATTTGACAAGGTGAGTTTCATATCAATTGATTATTCATTGAAATTAAGCTTGGTTTAGATTCTTTAGGTAATACTTAAGCTTAAGGAAAGCTTAAGTTTTCTTAAAACTAAAAGATAAAGAAGTTGTGATGGATTTAATATAAGAGGTTGTTTAGTGAAATTGCGAAAGGAGTTAGTAAATGGGTTTAAAGATTAAATTTGACTTGTCGTCAGTTAGATTAAGAAGTATAAAGTGTTAGAAATGAAATTAGAACATGTTGAAAATTTAGTAAGATTTTTTATTGCAAGAGTTATGATGAGATATTAAAGATGATGATTTGTTATATGGATATAAGATGGTTTGAGTAAGTGTAGTTGAGTTTAATTGTTTGAAAGTAGTTCAAAATGAAAGGTTTAAGTAGGTGTTGGTAAATTTTTGGGTTAAAGGAATAAATTTTGGGCAAGGGGTATCGGTACTGTTCATCCAGTACCGATACTTCAAAGAGAAAATGGATGATATTTCGGGTAAGGGTATCGATACTGTATGAAAAGTATTTATACCATAAGCTAAAAGTTGATAATTTATTCAAGATAGTATCGATATCGAATGATTAGTATCGATACCATTATGCAAGTACCGATACCATTTTTAGAAGGGAATTCTAGAACCGGAAAAAGGTATTGATACTGTAGCATAGTATCGATATCACGTAAGGGAGTATCAGTACCATACCTTGGGTACCAATATTATTCAAAGTAAGAATGTGAATTAAGTACTTCTTTTAGCTTAGGTTATTAATGATTGATTCATAATGTTTAAAATTCTAATATTTGTATCAAATGTAAATTTGTGTAGATATCGAACATAAGCAAGTTCCGTAACAGTCAAAGAGTTATGATCGATCGAGAGAGAGAGAAAATGAGTTATAGGAGTTGATTAGACTAACTGAGGCTAAGGTGAGTGCATACTATATTAGATAGTGTTTTAAGGAAATAAGGTTTATGATAAGTTTATTTCCTATGTTGATTTTATGGTTCTATAGTTATAAGCATATAGATGTCATGATTATTATGAGTACATGCGTAAGTGGTATATGTTTATATGTTATGATATATGTTACGTGATCTTTGTTAACATAAGAGAACAAAACATAAGCTACATGATACGAAATAAGTAGTTATATGCACATGTGATATATGTTATGAAATATGACCGATGGGATTACATGAGAAATGATATGAGTTATATGAGTACATGTATATGTGATGATTTGGTTGACTATGTGAACATGTGAAACATATAAGTGATAAAGCCCATGTTATGTGATATGAGAGATTTGGGTATAATTGGCATGCCAAAAGTCGAGGGTTCTATGAGGTCCTTCGGGACATATTTATGGTCCTTCGGAACAATTCTACGATGTCATTCGGGATAATTTTATATGACACTCAGTGCAAATTTATACGATATTGACAACATTTGTGCACAACCTAATGCACTCACATACCTAATGTTCTCAGTAATGTACATAGGTTAATAAAAGATATAATATGAAATGATATTGAATAATGTGATAGGTTATGAGTATTTAAATGCATGTCCATGTATGTTCTTGTTAATTAGATAGATAATGATTGTCATTACACTTTAATATTATTGGATTGCATGTTCATGATTTAAGTATTACATTATTTTGTTATATGCCTCACTAAGTCTGTGACTTAGTGTGTGAGTGTTTCACACATAGGTACCAAGAAACAGGAAGGTTAGAGTTAGGATCTATCAAGGCAACATATCTTTTAAAGAATATCATATCAGAAGTGATTCAAATAGTATGTCATTTTGTTATATTAATTATGTTGGCATGTAATTGAAGTTTAAATCACATATGCTTTGATAGATATTGTAAATATATTTTTATTATACTTATGTAAATTATTTCACTTTTATTTTAATGAAAGTTTAAATTTTCCATGATTTATTAAGAGTAACGTTTTGAAAAGTCAATGTGGCACCTCAGATTCGTATTCGGGTCGTGTACGAGTTAGGGGTGTTATATTTAATGGTATCAGAGCTATGAT